TTTTTTTTAATATTCTTAAGTTTTAGGTGGACACAATATCTTCATTTTACATTTATGAGGTGCTGCCTCATGCATGCTAGACGAGCACTCTACCACTAAGCCACAACCCCAGCTCCTTTTTTTTTTTTTGAGATGGGGAATTACTGAATTGCTGAGGGTCTCACTAAGTTTCTGAGGCTGGTTTCAAATTTGCAGTCCTCCTGCCTTAGCCTCTTGAGTCACTGGGATTACAGGCGGGTGCTACGTCCTGGTACATTGGAGAAACTGGATTAGAAGGAGGCCCAGGTTCTAGATTGGAGGCATAAGAGTGTTTTAAACGTTTTTTGCTTTAGGAGTTAAGAAATAGTTAAGAAATAGTTTTACAGGCTGGAATGAGGTGGAAGGCTGAATTGTGAAGGTCTCAGTCAAAAAATTCAAGCTGTTTTCATGTGTTCAGCTAGTACCTAAACACTTGCTTATATCATGCATTTTTTGTGTCTGTGAAGTTGGCATGGAGGATTTTTTGTATATAATTTTTTTTGTATACTTTCTTTTAATGGAAAACTACAGAGATTTTAAAATCACAATCTCTCTACTTTGCCTAGAGCTGAACTGACTTTGACTATGTAGAGAGGATGCTAAAATTGATTCTTTATAAAGAAACTCATTGTCATGGTTATATTTTTTCCTGTTTCCATAGCATCAAAATTAAAGCTAAGCCCCTTTCTATAGTTTCTTGATGTCTTACTTGTAAATTTATTAATCTCCATGGTGTCAGATTTCACTGGACACTTAGATATGAGAAGAGTATTCATATTGCCACCTTTAGGCTGGGATAAATTGTCGTTGTTAAGCCAGATTCTCCTCACTAAGCTTCTGAACTTTCTGTGGTTTCCCCGAGGCTCTTTGCCCTCCTATCACTCACCTGTCTTGTGTTACAACCAGGATAATTTGAAAGCGTTTTCTCAGCCTTACAAAGAGCTATCTTCATAAGAATGTTCTCTTCTGCTTTCTTTTGGCATACCTCTAGGTTAGAAAACTATAGCTTTTTTTAAGTATGTGTGTTTTTGTTTTTGTTTTTTTT